AGGCCGGTTGGTGACATCATGCGTCAGGCCCTTGAGTGGAACCCGAAAGGGAAGCGGCGAGTGGGACGTCAGTGCAAGGGTGACATGGAGGAGATGATGTGAAGAGGAGTTGAAACAATATGGACTAACATGGATGCAGGTGAAAAGTACAGTAGAAAAAAGACAGAAGCAAGTTGAGACGTGCAATTGAAGCCCTATGTTCCACTAGGAACTCAAGGGAGCAATAATAATAATAATACAGATTAGGCAACGCTTACATCAATGGTGTGTCCAGAAATGTGCACCAGCGGGCTATCAAAATTATGACAGAGCAATAAGGTGAAAACCTTAAGGGTGATACGTCAAACTAAACTGTCACATGCCACCTTTTCACTTTCTTTAAGTCGCCATCTAAAAGTTTAATATGTAAAGGCTGAAGACTCATTTTTCTAAGTGCAAGCAAATACAGAGACTTGCAACACATTATATTGGTGACTGAAATCCACTGTCTGACTAAAACAAACAATAACAAGAAAAACCCAGTGATAACGAGCAGGAAATTTGGGTCCAAGCCTTCGTCAGGATTGTCTCCAGCCATCTGATTACAAAAATTTACAGTAAAGTACAGATATTGAGTTATCTGGCGTGGTGGTCAAACAGCAAACTTGGCTGATAGAATTCAGTCTGCACCAAACAAATGGAATGGAAGGAAGCATGATACTGTTTATCCACTCCTGTCCCAGTCACAGAATACTAGTATCGTACCACGGTGCCGGTATAATAGATTGATTCATATCAATGGAATGTAATCGTAAACAACTACACCTTCAGTTACTTGGCGACTTAATATTGAACAAAACAATGAGAAGACGTAATTTATCTGAATCGTGTAATGTTGTATTTACGCAACATATTTTGAGAATTCCGATCAAACATGGACTTGTTATAGGAATATATATATATGTGTGAAATTAATAAAAAGTTAAGAAGTGAGAAAATAAACAACTTAGGTCAAGTTGAAAGGCCGCCATATTCAAGGTCAAAATAATAATGAAGATCACTAAACCAAAATAACAGAGGTAATAGTAAATCTGCCCTGACTGGTATCAAAACAAAGTTTACCAAGGAAGGTAGGTTTATTGTGATGACGAGTTGTTTTCGAACGCATAAAGGTAGTTTGAACTTTCTAATTGCTACCTAGGGCTTCGACATGCCTTACGAGTCGCCCCAAACATGTGTAAACGTCAATTTGATGTCCTGTCTCTAGAATATGTTTCGCAATAGAGTAGTTAGGTCTCCTGTTCTCACCCTCGATGGGTTCTGAAGATTACATTTACCTCTGGAGCCATTTAGGAATGTGCTTTGAAGTCAGCCCTTACTTGCAAAGGTCGATGAATCCTCCCTCACTTGGGGTCCTCTTTTCTCTGCTTGTCTAGTCAGCCAGTTTGTTGGTTTTCGCCTGCAAGTCTTCGAGTTAGTGTGGCATTAGGCACACTTGATCTGCAAAATCCAGATCATTTAAAGTCTTCCTATCAGTCCAGAATATTCCCGTTTTCTTGCTACTGACAGTCTGACGCATGATCTAGTCCACCACATTGTGGTTACATTTGAACGTTGTGCATTCCTGTACTGATTCATTTTATCGGTTCTCCAAGCTAATCTCTCATTTAATTTTATGAAATTCAGGATTTATTAATCATCTAGCAACACAGAAAACAAATAGTATGCCATGTATTGTCTGTCTACTCAAGGACTTAAGACCTTACTTACTAAAATTCGGATAGAACTGTTTCATTGTACTACAAATGGTATAATGAAATATATAAGAACCTCTAATAAATATATCTCAGTCCCACTAACTATCCGTTAACTCAAGAAGATGGTCAGTAAGTTCATAAATTTCACGCACCTATTATTATTATATCCTTTAATTCCTAGAGGAACATAGGGCTTCAGCCCCACATCTCCATTGCCTTCTGTTTTCTGCCAACTTTTTCACTCCGCTCCAAGTCTTCCCACATGTTTTCATTTCCTCGTCACATGACCTCCTCCAAGTCACCCTCATATTGATGACCAACTCGCCGCTTCCCTTTCGGGTTACACTCGAGCAATAGCTTGTCTAGTGATGTCACTTGATGGTTTCCTCGGAGTATGGCCAGCCAATCCACCTCCATTTCTTCCTGTTTCACAATCGGTTCCTGGTTGGTTCGCTCACTGCCAGAGATCCCTGTTTCTGATCGTTTCTGGCCATCTGATCTTGAGTATTGAGCGAAGACAACTGTTAATGAAGGTCTGTAGTTTGTTTGAGATGCTCTTCATGACGCGCCAAGTCTCTCATCCGTATAGTGAGTAGCACTGACTTCACATTGGAGTTGAAAATCTGGATCTTATTTTTGATGCTGAGCAGTGCTGTTGACCTCCACACAGACTTAAGAGTAGTGAAAGCTTGTCTTGCTTTTCCGATTCTGGCTTTGATATCCTCGTCAGTTCCGTCCGCCTGTAGTTGAAACAATGCTTCCCACGTAGGTGGGTAAAGGAGGTTGTTTCTTTCAGGTTCCTCGAATTTATGCTGGCTGACTGTTGTCTGTTCTTGTTGTTGTTGCTGTTGGTGTTGGCCAGGAATCTTCATAATCTCTGTTTTCTCTATATTCGCCTGGAGTCCTATCCTTGATACTTCTTCTGCCAGCTTGTTGCTTTTCACTATTTCACCTATTGCTTAGCCTGAATTCATATCTCCTTACACATTATCGTCCTAAATACCAAGAAATTAAGTAATTGTACAAACAACTCTGTGAAGTTTATTATTTAGTAAGCAGTTTAGATGTAATTTTTACCTTTTTACTTCTCATTACAGCTCAAATCATTACTGTGTTCTAGCTAGGCTTTGTGTATTCTAACCTCCTGGTAGCGTATTGCATAACAGTTGAATGAACGAAATCCGGACACTGACAGTAGTTCAAACATTACACTGTGCAACTGAAGTTGCACAGTTTACGCAATTTTATCACTGGAAGTGGGACTCAATATTACTGTGGCGGAACAGTAGCACAGTAACAGCACACTGCAGGAATCTCTAATTTCTGTTTTTGACGGTTCGGATAAACGGTAGTCAGAGTATCGTTTTATTGATATAAGAATAAAACATGTGAACTGTGATAGAGTATAATTCCATTGTGGGTAAAATTTGTTTTGATAAAGTCTCACAGCGTTATACAGTATTACTTACTAATTACTACGTTTCTAGCACAATTTACTCACATAACTCTCAAACTTCATCCGTATAATTCCATTATATTCCATCGCCTGACTTGATTGGTAGTAGTATTTTCCATATTTCCGGTATGAGTGATAAGTCATTCCTATTGCATGTGTTGTGTGTAGACTCGACGAAAAACGGATCCAGTGATAAACCTCTCTCTATATCTCCATCTACCTATATTACTTCTTAGAATTTTAGCCCTCTCCCACTCTATTGTGTGATTGTGTGTTAATGCGTGCAGTGCAATTGCTGAGCTTTTTTCTAATCTACTTATCTCCGTGGGTGGGGTCAACTATTCTCACCTCATCTAAATTCCTATGTTCCGACAATCTGACTACTGCCTTGATCTACTAGTTTGACTGACCTATTTAGTTGACTGAACTGACTCACAGTGATTATAAGGTATTTTGTAAATTAAATTATTTTGTTTAATTGAGTCAACCTCCAGGGTCCTTTAACCCACACAGCTTGTCCTACCTGTGTGAGTTTGTTGGTTTGGACGCCACTTTAATTCCTGCTTTATTCACAATCCCACATAGAGTCTCAGATGTGCCCTCCTCAGTGAGCACCTCCGTCCTTAGGATGAGTTCAGGATATGCAGTTAGTTCTTTTTAACTGCTTCTAAGGCCATATTGATTGGTATATTAGTTTAAAGACTAGTTATATCAAAACTTACCATCGTTTCATCATTCCCTAGTGGAATGTCATTTAGTTTATTTTTTATATCATATGAATTAGTAAGTCTCGAGTTTGAACGATTATGTATTTTAATAGATTCATACATTCTACATTACGAAGATTAGTAAAAGTCAAAAGCGAAATTAAACTAATAGTGAAACTAGTGATGATAACATAAATAAGAAAGAATGTAAGGCATCTACAGTTTTACCATATCAGGAGGGGACATCTGAGACTCTATGTGGGATTGTGAATAAAGCAGGAATTAAAGTGGCATCCAAACCAACAAACTCACTCAGGTAGGACAAGCTGTGTGGGTTAAAGGACCCTGGAGGTTGACTCAATTAAACAAAATAATATAATTTACAAAATACCTTGCAATCACTGTGAGCCAGTTAAGTCAACTAAATAGGTCAGTCAGACCGGTAGATTGGGGGTAGTCAGATTGTCGGAACACAGGAATTTAACTGAGGTAAGAATAGTTGACCCCACCCACGGAGATAAGTAGATTAGAAAAAAGCTCAGCAATTGCACTGCACGCATTAACACACAACCACACAATAGAGTGGGAGAGGGCTAAAATTCTAAGAAGTAATAAAGGTAGATGGGTAGAAAGAGAGAGCTTGATTACTGAATCCGTTTTCGTCGAGTCTACACACAACACATGCAATAGGAATGACTTATCACTCATACTGGAAATATGGAAAATACTACTGCCAATCAAGTCACGAGATGGAAAATGATGGAATTATATAAACGAAGTTGTAAAGTTATGTGAGTGCCTTGATATGATTATGAGTGGCAGTAAATTGTGCTCGAAACGTGGTGATCAGTAAATATTACCGTATAACACTGTGAGACTTTATCAAAACAAATTTTACCCATAATGATAAGTATCGTTTTCTGATAATCATAGTAAAAATAATAATAAAGTTTAAGTGAATGGAGTATTTTTCCGTTGATTAAGATCTACGAGGATGAAACTTTGGAGATTAACCTCAACGATAATTGCACTCACTCCATATGACTTCGCCTGTTAAACTGAAATTCACGATACGCATAATAGGCACAATTCAAACCAGATCCTGTTAATTCGCTATCAGCAGAAAATTGATTTTCAAAAGTCTATATAATTTATTCTGTACACTGATTTTTCCTCTGTTGTTGTTCTGCTGCCAACAAACGTCGTGATCGAATTTTCTCTCTAGCTCTTATAAAGGTTAGAATGTCTGCATCAACTACAGGATCACCAGTCAGTGGAATCGATTGATTGGCGATTGTACGATGTTCCAGTGTATTGTTAACTTCTTTATTCGTTTTGGAGACTTCACAAGATGATTCTGATTTTAATCCCACGTTACCTGTTTTTACAGTTGAGAGAAAAAGAAAACAGAAAGTGTGTAGTTTTATGGACAAATCGTGTACATCTGTGTGTGGGGGTTTGTTGTGGTTAATCAATATCCCCGTAAACATTATGTCCGCTTATATCAGCCATTGCCGAAATCGAAAATTCTAACTGTTCCTGTCCATCTGATGTTTCCAGTCATTCTAAATGAAGATATGTGTATTGCAACCCAGTGCGTCGGTGCTTAAGCGATAGAACACTAGCCGACTACGCCTCGATTGGCTCGGGGATCTATCCTCAGCCGACGCACATCTAAACCCCGCGAACCCAAAAGTAAGGCAGGTGAAATGGGTAGTGTAGCCTACTTTTGTTCAGTTCACGAATCATGCTGTATTGTGGTAACAGCTGTCTGCAAGCCAAAAGTGTAGACAACGATTTACGTTAGTGTCTACCTGCCGAATCAGGGTCATGCGAAAAAAAACAATTATAAAACTTACCCTTCAGGAACTGAACAACTAATCATAGTAGACTTAACATGTACAAATATGACTTAACTTTCTAAGTAATGACCACAAAGAGATGACAGAATAACCTTCAGCAAGAAAACAACCCATCAGAAGACATTGCTTCTCTGCTAACAATAACACTAACAATAATGTACATAAAAATCTATAACTATGTCTTGATTTTCTCAATAAATGATCTGTTGCCTAGCCCTTGTCTTCTATATTCTTTTGTTGAACACTAGGTGTACATAAACGGTACGGAATCCTCAAAAGGAAAACTAATTCACTCGAAACCTAATAGCCACGTATTAATCCATGTGAAAACGTTCAGTTATTTATCAAGTTTATCACAGGCACGTGTAAATTTTAACACAAACCCACAGATTAAGTGATAAACTGCTTGTCTTCAGGCTTGAATATCTTGCCATCAGTCCATCGTAAAGTTATCGTTTTGCAACGCTGAAAGACTACATCGCAATATGTCTCTTGGTACTACTCTTTCAACTGAATGTCCACCTTGTGATCAATTATATTTTCACAAAACATAAATGTTAAGGCATGAAGTTATCATCAATTATTCCCCTGTAGCAATGTATGCATTTTCATAAAGCGCTATTTTCCAACTTATAACACGACTAAAAATCTGTGGACTAAAGAGGAGTTTACAAGACACTACTAACTGTATGAAGGATTTCGTCATGAGCTGACACTGGAAAACCTGGGAGTACCGGACAGCCAATTCATCCTAGTTTGGGACTCTTCATCAGTACGCACCCACACTGTGGGGTTCGAACCAAGGACCTTCTGGTTACAAGGCAAGCTCATAGACCACTTAGCTTCCCACTAGAACCCCAGGTCACTGCCTGATTAGGGCCAGTCACTAGTGAGCATCAGATTAATTTTCAACTATTGATTTTGTGGGGAATTTGTATCATTACATGGAGGAGTTCATCATGAACTCACATCAGTGGGAAGGCGTGACCAGTAGGGCACAGCAGGTCAAAGATTAGGCAATAACTCATCGAAGAGGACATTGCGAAACGGTGGAGCTATGTCGTGAATTGGCAGAAGTTATAATTCATGGGGCGTTGGATTGGGTCCCAGTGGCTCAATGATCTACGAGGTCGCCTTGCAAACAGAAAGTCCTGGGTTCGAACCCGGTAAGTGCGTAGTGATGAAGAGTGAGTCCCAAAGTAGGGTAAAGAAACAGCTATCCAGTACTCCCTGTTGGTTTTCCCGATGGTTCTGTAACCGGTATCATTTCATGATAAAATCCTGTAGCCAGTCGAATTCCTGCTAAACCTAACACCTGAATGAAAGTGGTGTATATGCAAATGAAGATTAAATCTATCTACTAGTAAATTACTTACAATAGTTGATGGATTCCGAAACATTTTGATCTGTAGCCATCTTCAAATTCATCTATATGTAAATGAAAGTTAAAAATCGTCAGTTGAATACCTTCCAAAAATTTCTACAAGGATAAAAAGAAGGTTCTAGTGGAATATCATTCTAGGATAACTGAAACCTCTGATTATATATATTACTTTTCAGTACTGCTGTAATCATAATTATTACTAATAGTCTTGGTCAAGTAAAGGAACATTCACGAAATAAGCTAGAATTCAACTTGCATCATTTACTCACCATTTATTTTAACACGTCAAATATGCGAGAATATCAAATCAAGGCAAGCTTTAATCACTCTCAAGTCTGTGTGGAGATCAGCAACACTCAGCGTGAAAAGTAAGATCCTGATTTTCAACTCTAATGCGAATTCAGTGCTACTCACTATAAGGGTCAGAAACTTGGCGCCTCGCCGCGCCGCGTCAGTAACGCCACTTCGAACAAACTACAGACCTTCATCAAGAGTTATCTTCGCTCAAGATCAGATGGCCGGCCAGAAACGATCAGTAACAGGGAGAGATCTGTGCCAATGAGAGAACCAACCAACCAACCAGGAACCAATTGCGCAACAGATATGCAGGAAGAAATGTAGGTGGATTGACTGACCATACTCTGAAAAAACAAACCATAACCAAGTGAGTGACATCACCTGCAATGCAGGCCATCAGTCAACTTGGATCCGAATGGGAAGCGGCCAGTTGGCTGTCATTGCGAGGGCGTCATGGAGAAAGGGGTGATGTGAAGAGGAGATGAAGGCGTGTAGGTAGGTGGACGTGGAGCCAGGTGAAGAAGGAATGATATAGTTCATTATTTCAGAGTTGTATACCTGAGGAATATATATGAGGCATAAGTTTCTGTTGATCACTTTACCTTACCAGTGTTAGTGGATCAACATGTTGCATAAGCACTTTTCGATAAAATGAATTTGGTATCGTGTCATTTTAGAATATCACTGGACACTAAGTTGCTTGAAGTGTAAAATACAACTTTAGTTCACCATCAAATACAGTCAGTGGCACAGCGGTTAGGACGCTCGCCGATCCCTGGTCACCAGAACACTCCTTTGTCTCACTAAGCACGAAATAAGAGTGGTGAAGACGAAGGTTTAGGAATGAGGCTGGCAATCCCATCCTGTAAAAATAATCACCACTGCTACAGAAACTTCAAGCCTCTGGCTTGGAACCCTATTTTTCTATAGTTTGGTTTGTAAGGGTTAGTTATGTTTATACGAGTTAATCACGGATTGATATCAGTTAGACAAGCATCGAAAACCAGGGAGTACTGGACAGCTGCTGTTTCATGCTACTTTGGGAACCATCGCCAGTACGCACCCACTGGGATTAGAACCCAGGACCTTCCGGTTACAAGGCAAGCTCGTATACCATTCAGCCACTGGGACCCGATTCAATGGTCGGTCCACGAATTCTAGCTTCTACCAATTCGTGATTTTGCGCCACCACAACCATTGTCGTAGGTGGGACATCCATCGTTACACGTGGCATCTGAATGGACCTAACTGGTCACGACTTCTCACTAGAACTCCAGGAAACTCCATCCTGTAGCAAGTCACTAACCCTTACAAGTCAAACTATAGAAAAATAATCTGATGCTCGCTAGTGACTTGCTACAGGATGGAGTTTCCTGGAGTTCTAGTGAGAAGTTGTGACCAGTGAGGTGCAATTAGATGTCACGTGTGTGGATTGATGTCCCACCAACGACAATGGTTGGGTCACGCTAAATTACGAATTGGTAGAAGTTATAATTCATGAGCCATTGAATTGGGTCCCAGTGGCTAAATGGTATACGAGCTGGTCTTGTAACTGGAAGGTCCTGGGTTCGAGCCCTGGTGGTGGTTGCGTACTAGCAATGATTCCCAAACTAGGATGACACAGCAGCTATCCAGTACTCCTTTGAAACCCTACGTTCCACTGGGAACATGAAGGAAGAAAAAAACCTACAGAACCAGTGGAAACTCTGGACCAGTAAACTGCATTTTCTACATTTGATGTCAACTCTTGATGCAAAATAAGAATTTAGTTATCCTAGCTTATTTAAAACGAGTAACTTACGATTATGAGTAGTCATTATAATGTCCTGAAATCACTAACTCAATACGATAAAAGTTACATAATACAACTTACTTTTTGACTTTCTATATTGCCTGATCGATATGAGGTTACAGATCCATTATGAAGGCAGCTGGAGGTAGTATCTTCTTCAACTTCACAGCTTATTTTATTCCACCATGATTCAAAATCTTGAACTAAACGCATTTTAGCCAACTCTAAGGAATGTTGCAGATGTTCAACGCGTGGTTTAAGTTCTTTCAGTGCATTGTAGGAATCTCGATATCCAGTTCTTCTTACCTCTAATTGATTACGTAATTCAGTCAGTATATCTTGTGTTCTGCAATCATTGTTATTATTCTGTATGATTGTATTGATTTGAACTCGAATGTTGCCTGATAATAAATCCAATAAATCCGTGAGTAATAATCATGTGTGTTAGTGAGATAAAAACATTCAAATTGAAACAAACAGCGCTTTCTTTTATTTTTAATCCTTTACTTTCCCAGTGAAAGGTAGGACTTCAAGCTACAGTCTTGAGGTCTTGGTGTCAGTGGGATAGGGTTGCTAGTCATCTTCATGCCTAACCTTCCCTCTTTACCAGTCTTGTTACTGGTTTAGTGAGATACAGGAGTGCGTTGATGGCTCGGGATCGAAGCCCTAACCATATACGTGGTCAGCCAGCATTGTACCATTGTACCACCGACGCACAAAGATTACAGTCATACAAAAAATAAGGAACGAAGTAAGTGAAAATAATAAATTATAAACGAACATTTGAATAAAGCTAGAGAAACAGTTTTTGCAGAATAAGATGGTGCCATGATTTATTTATTTTTTGGCTTCGCATCATCTGCTTACAGGCCAAAGTCATTCATTATTAAGTATATCTACAGAAACAATTTTAACATACTCTCACAGATTTCATTTTTGAAAATATCCAGTTATCAGGGCAAACGATCAGGATTTCATCATGATGAGCTGACATCGGCAAAAGAGAATCACTGGAAAGCCGCTATGGAGTACTGAACAGCCATCAGTTTCGCCCGCCTAGCCTGCAGCTCTTCCCTAATACGCACCCATCAACATGAGGTTCAAATCCAAGAACTTCAGATCGCAAGGTGAGCTCACAGACAGTTCACCCACTGGGTCCCAACCCGATCCGATGCCCAACCGGGCGATAAATTCCAACTTCAGTCAATAATTCATGATACAGGGCGATTGATGATAGCCAGTGTCATCATTGGCGAGTATTTGCCCTCACACCCAACCCTCTGTACTGTACGCCGCTAGTTACAACCTCTTAGATCCTGTATTCGAGACCTAGTGGTGGGTGCGTGCTGCTGGTGAAGAGCTCAAAACTAGGGTTACGAAATGAGTAGCTGTACAGTACTTTTTGGTGGTTTTTCAATGAACCTCTAAACTATGTTAGCTCACGATGAAAACCAACAATTAAACATAAAGAAGTAATGAGATCTTCATTATGTACAGAATGGTAACACATCATTTTCAATCAGCGTATAATATTATTCTAAGATGAATCAAAATTGGCACAATTATGGAAACTTTAATATAACAGTAAACTAGTCCACATATCTATTTCCATAAAAATTATGAGTATGCAAACTGCATACAGCTGATTGATGTGACTAGTTGCGGAAATACACGCTAATCAAAAGTGACCTTTGGCTTGATAAACGGTAATGTAATTGCAGGTGGTTATTCTGCTTAGCCTCATTGGACACTAGCTAGTAACCAGGGTAGTGTGTCTAGTGCTTTTTTAGGTGTAGAATGAATTCTATCAGTCAGTTGGCCACTATTCAAGGCGGTTCACCATCACAAAACGCCTCACTTTGAATTTTTCAATGATACTAGATGGTTGCAGGCAGTCGGAACCAAACAAACAAACAGAGACTAGACGTACTACACCAGTTAGTGAGTAGTGACAATCATCAAAGTTTGGTGACAGCTTTCTACAAGCCAAAATTGTAAGCAGCAATTTACATCTATTTTCACGTCCCAAATCAGGGTTATGAGAAGAAACAAGAACAAGGCCTAACCTTGAGGAACTCATCAACTAATCAAACCAGAATTAGAGAGTGAAAATACAATTCGCAGATATATGGCCTAACTTTGTAAGCAACGGTCATAAGAAGTACAGAATAGCCTTCAACAAGAAAAACCAATCAGAAGACGTTGCTTCTCTACTAAAATAACAAATAATAATGTACATAAAAATCTATAAATATCTTTTGATTTTCTCAATGAATGATCTATTGCTTGGCCCTTGTCTTCTATCGTTACATTTGGTGTCACTGCCTGTCAAGAAATGAAAGTCCCGTGGCCTGAAGTTTTTGAAGAAGGAGACGCATGGATCTTCTTAAGGGACATCGAAGCTATTGCGGAGTTGAATGACATTCAAGGGCCGTCAGTAAATACGCTTTTATTTGAAACGCTGCTGAGAAGTTGGGTAAAGATAGCATGTGATAGTGTGTGAAAAACAGAAGGGCAAGCAACTTGGAAGTCAGTCGTTGAACACTTGAAGCAGGAGTTTGACAGCCCAATGGATAGAGGAAGGGCGATGCAGCAGTTTTGCACCATTTAGCTAGGAGCTGACGGTGATTCTCTCATATTGGCGCTGACTCTGACAAACCTACTGGGTCACGCGCTGCCAACACTGGACTAATATTCTGAGACACAAATGTTGGTGTCTCAGTTTATGCCAAGTGTTCCAGAAAACATATCTCGACAGCTACACCTGATCAACGCTGTACAGCCAATGGGCATTTGGGAGCTTACATAGGTGACTAGGCAAATATTGAGCAAGACCGTTGCCGCAAAAGAGGCCTCAAAATCCAAGCAGTGTAAGAAACAAACTGAAAACTTGCAGCGTGAAATGGCCGCGCTGAGAATGAGCGTGAGGAGACATAAGTGTTTTGCATGCAGCAAACTTGGACACTGAAAAAACTGCCGCCCGGAGAGACGATAACGAAAACGTTTTAAAAGGTATACTGTTTTCTTCTTCCTGTTTTCCGAGACTAGAGGTAATAGTGTAACAACAGAAGGCAAGGGCCAAGCAACAGATCGTTTACTAAAGAAATCAACAAATATTTATAGATTTTCATGTAAATATTATAGATTATTGTTAGCAGAAAAACAGTCTTCTGATTAGTTGTTTCTCACTGAAAGTTAACCTTGAATCTCTTTGTGGCTGTTTCCTGCATATCACACATCTACACGTTAACTGTATCCGCCTACGCAAAGCCTTTGTTCTCATTTATCTCACCACCAATATTGGAGAAATAAACATTGACGTAAATTAATGTCCATAAATTTTGACTAAAACCTAGCTTTCACCACAATAGAAGTGACTGAGCAGGAGACGATGTATTCGAAAGTTCACGTAAATGACTGCGAGTTAGTGTGTTTAGTTGACACACGGATAGCAGTCTCGCTCGCTGATAAGAGCTTATGTGAGAGTATAAGGCTATGTTCGTTGATAGCGCAGACAGTGGGGGCCACATGTTAAGAATTGCGGGAGTGTCAGACCGCAGGGTTAGCACTGGAGAGAATAGCGTGCAGAAAGCTGTCACCAAAAAAGATTCGGATACAGTTAGTGCTACATGAGGTCAATCGCGAGCCCGAATAGCTCCTCACTGGTAACGTCTATGACTGAATGCAGGCGGCACTGAGTGACGCGAGTTCGAATCTCAGAAGGCACATGAGGTCCTTTGATATGATTGCGGATGCACCTTGCTGATTGGTGAGTGCCAACTAGCACGTCAGTTAGGCCAATCAACGCTTCCTGTCAGTTATTCTGATAGCAGATCAAGATGAGTTCAGTTAATACAGCTGAATAGCTGAAACTACTTGTTTGCATTACTCTGTTATTATTTTTTATTATTTTTTTGATTACAGCTTGATTCCACACCGTATTTTTGGGACAAGTGTGGAATTTTCAGCGTGGATATCGGTAGCCCAAAATTCGCACGCCGACCATGGATATCAGGTGTGCGTCGGCGTGGGCTCGAACCCCGGACCATGTGCATGGTCGGCGAGAGTCCTAACCACTGTGCCACCGACACACGTAGGAACTCAAATATCAACCAAAATATCGAATGGTTGACTAGATTACTTAAAAATATTATATTATTACGAAAGACAACATGGAGAATAGATGAAGTGATCGGAATAACGAATTACGCACACTTGTATATGCAAAATGAAATTTTTAGGTTTACTTACCAGCCTCTTCTTTAGCTTTCGACATCTTTACACCCTGAAGTTTCGCTTCAGCATAAAGTGATTTCAATTCTTCTTTCTGTTTGTTTATTTGACCCTGAAGGGGATAATCTTGTTTAAACATTTCGAAGGCTTCTTCACGACCCATGGATAAATGACCAACTAGGTAGAAGGATCAAGTGTATGTAAAAGTTAAAATTTAAAAAAAAATCGCATATAAACAATAATAATCGCATATTTTATTTTTTATTTAGTATCATGGCCTAAAATAATTGAGACCTCCTAACTCTATCCAAGATACCTTTCTTGATATGGAGCGGCCAACTAACAAGTTTATACAATTGGCTAACTAAGTGGGAAAGAAATCCGTTTAAAACCCTTACCACTTAAATCCGACGCACATCTTCAATTGTGACGCCTGGAAGCTGAATTGCATCTTCTGGAAGAAACCTTCATCCCAAATAGATACCAGCCAAGATTTATCAACAAGACTATCAAACCAATGGTCCAGAGGAAAGAATAATCACTTGTTTCAAAAGACATACCTTATATGAACCTAGATTTTAAGGGAGACTTAGCTTGAGATATCTCTAAGAGAAAAATTTCAATATCAGTGAGAAGAACTTTAGTCATAGCAACACTAAGAGTAGCGTTCTCTAGTCGTCCATTGGTCTGCAGAAGCCTTTAGGAAAACTTCTCGCATCTGACCCCTTCTACGTGCAAATATCAGTTCATGTGTTGCTGTGAAGTCAGGCAAATAGGTCGTTCGATGCTTATTTGTTTAAATGGGTTCAGCATAGCTACAAAAAAGGTAACAGTGGCTGTATTAGGAGTGTGATAACCGAATATCTCGTCAACAATGGCGTTTCCATCTTAACAAATGCCTCCTGAAAAATGATCTACAGAGTCAGGAATTATACGGTTACCGAATACAAGGTAAAAACGTGGAAAAGAATGAGAGAGAGGAGCATGGCATGAGTTTATTTCTGATTCAACCAGTCTGTACATCATTATGCTTCTTAAAGTAGCGATTGTTCATTGAATAATTCTATCTGTAGCTTATTTTGGCAATTCTGCAATTAAGGATGACTCAATCTTGTGCGGATATACTTGTAGCAGTTGTACAGAACTGAAGCCTTGAATTGTTCGAGATCCTTGCAATATATTGATCTTGGCATCGTGCAGTCTTGTCTTCTGATAAGTGATATATTCAGGTATGAAAACGCAATGTTTGATTCACGTTCTAAGATGAAATTTATTGATGGGTGTAAAGCGTTGAAGGTTTTGAGAAGATACTCTAAATCAACTTTTTCATCCCACAAATTATGAACATATCATATACGCGTCTCTAGTCTTAGTTCAGTTGACTTATCACAGGTTCAAGGATCTAGTTTCAGAGACTCGCCATGAAGCAGTCAGCTAGGAGTGGACTGAGAGGAGACGCCATAGTTAGATTATCTTCTTGTACATAGAATTTTTCATTGGATTTGAATTGGATATTAAACGTACATCTAAGAAGTAGTTACTTCAGATAGTTGATGGGAAAAGGTACTTCTAGGTTATTCGTTTCGATGTAGCCACATATGAAGCCTACTGTCTTGATCAATGGGATGTAATGTAAACAGCATTTGTCTTTCAAACACGTTGATATCTTTCACTGACTCGATGAAATCAAATATATCATAAAGGCCATACCTTGTCATATGTCTTCATTACCGGTTCAAGAATATCTACTAGCCACTTCGTCATCTAACGACGATATGATGAGTTGGCCATGTCTATGATACGTCGAAGTAGAATATTCTTCTCGAACAATTTTTTGCAAATATTTCAAATGAATTTATAATTTTGAAAAATTTGAATATCAAGTAGATGGTATTGATCATTCTGAGTTCTATATCTCCTGATGAATGTAAAACAAAACAGCATTGTTTGTACTTAAGCCATTCTTAGCTGTCTTCTAGCCCAACGCTACTTCTGGTGACGTCGTAAACTTTGATTAAGTAGAGAGATTTCTTCCAGAGATTACCGTCATGCTTCTAAAGAGTTCCTAGTACTTATCTTTTGAAAGTTTCCCACATTCTCTTTCATACGATAATTAGTGAAGCCTATGCGATATACAGGGAACGACCAGTGATGAAGTTAAGACCACGGTAGAATAAGAGGCAGGATAGACTTTTGGTGCGTCGGTGGCATAGCGGTTAGGATTCTCGCCGACCGTGCACATGGTCCGGGGTTTGATTCCCGGCCGAAGCACTCTCTTACCTCGCTAAGCCAGAAATAATCTGGTAAAGAGGAAAGGTTGGGCATGAGGCTAGCAACCACATCCACTGCTACAGAAACTTCAAGCCACTAGCTTGAGGCTCCATATTCCGCTGGAAATGTAAGGAAAAAAATGCCGTTTACAAAACACTCACTTAGTCCTGTAGGCTATTCCACATAGATGTGGATCACTGTCTTAAACGAAAAATTACAGCTTTATATTCTACTACACTACATTTTTAGAGTTATTTGTAAAGGTGTATATTTCTCGCTAATGGACATTCATCCACAATAAATTCTATCTATCTTTATCCTTCAATAAATTCTTTAAACTATTTCAAGAATTCAGAACAAGCCCGTAAAAAGAGAAACATACTGATGTTCACATATATATATATAAATATCTGTATTTACGTTTGTCCTAAATGACATATACAATGAGGATTTTTAATTTCATGATAAGAGGACGAGGGAAAAGACGTACTTCTTTTTGGACAGAACGCAAAATCTTGACCTATATTTAGTCACAAAATTAGCAAAATTTACTGTTATTCAAAGGGTTATCTAGATAAATCCACAACCAGATCTAATCCTAAAATATAGTTTGAAAACAAAACTAGAATAACAGTGATTTTCGCAGAATTAAAATGGTACCATCATCATTGTTTATTTCATTGGCTTCTAATCAGTTGCCCACAGTCCAAAGATATTATAAAGTTTATGTATAGACACATTTTTTTTAATATACTTACACACAGAGAGTTCATTTTTAAACGAGAATTCAGTGTATGCGTACAATGATAATAATAATAATATTTTAATATTTTTGATTACAGGTTGATTCCACATCGTATTTTTGGTACAAGTATGGAATTTTCAGCATGTGATATCGGTAGCCCAAATTTTACAGGCCAACCATAGATATCAGGTGTGCTTCGTCGGCAGGGGATCGAACCTCAGACTATGTGCGTGATCGGCGAGAGTTCTAACCACTGTGCCACCTACGCACAAAAGTCAGTCTGAACGAAGAATATTATTTTCAATAATTTCTCCTCTTCAGGTTCTTACAATTATAAAATATTATAATTATAATTACACTGTCGTTACAATAATGATAGCCAGTTGTAACGCGGATACATTTATTTTTACATAGAATAACAGATTAGAAGTTATGGAGTGTCAAAATAAATAGTCGTATTTGTGAGTGTGACAAACGTGCTTTAGGCTGAAATCGATTAGAAAATCTTGTAAAATGTGAGACAATGGTGGTGGTGATTAGTCATAATAGATTTGTAGAGTGTGGGGTAAGAAAAGTGACAATTCAGATTGTTCAAGGTTATAAAAGGTGTCAGGTAAGTGGAGTGGCTAGTTCACAGTGGTACGTAATAAAGAGGTGATAGTAAGACTGCAGTGAGAGAGATTCACAATGAAATAACGAATGTGTGAAATGAAACAGGTGGAGGCATATATTGAGAAAAGAGATAATTTCGCTAATAATAACAAGTGTGGATAGCATAAATGGAAAATTCGATAGTATTGAGAGAATGTTTGCATGAAGGGTATAAATTATGAGGAATAATAATAATAATTGTAATGATAATATTTGTAATAATAAGCAAAGGAAAAAACCCAAGAGGGTTAAGGGGAAGAAGCACTCTTGGTGATAAGAAGAATCATCAGTCCAATTTCGGCCACGGTAGGAACAGAGTCTAGGCGTGTTCTTTTTGCATACAAAGTTCCGGTTTAGTCGATCTTATTGCAACAGCTTCAGCTATGTGCAGCAGAATTAAGCAAACTGTACGTGATAACGACTTCGGAATTCGTTGTATAGCCCTGAAAGCTGTGTTGACGCCAATGCTATATCCAGTATCGACGATGTGTGACAGGAGTAAGCTGTGTATGCACTTACCTTCCCCTCTGCTCAGCCAATCTGGTAAATGTTCTCGAACATACCACTTTGTACTAGCCACTCCACTTACCTGACACCTTTTATAACCTTGAACAATCTGAATTGTCACTTTTCTTACCCCACACTCTACAAATCTATTATGACTAATCACCACCACCATTGTCTCACATTTTACAAGATTTTCTAATCGATTTCAGCCTAAAGCACGTTTGTCACACTCACAAATACGACTATTTATTTTGACACTCCATAACTTCTAATCTGTTATTCTATGTAAAAATAAATGTATCCGCGTTACAACTGGCTATCATTATTGTAACGACAGTGTAATTATAATTATAATATTTTATAATTGTAAGAACCTGAAGAGGAGAAATTATTGAAAATAATATTCTTCGTTCAGGCTCACTTTCAATTCATGATATGGGAATATTTCACACTAATAAATCTAATAATTACCTTATCCCAAACAATAATGGCATTTTTCAGCGTTATGTAGTCGAATGAAAGACGGAATGAAAACATCTAGTTACTAGGTCAACGGTGTAAACAAACTTACATAAATCTAAGGGAGCAGTTACAATGGGAGAACAGAAAGTGGGGTATACCTACAATTTTCTGAACATATGCTGAAAAGCCCATGTCTCAAAGGAACAAATGCTTCCGACAATGCCATTTTCAGGCATCTCCTTGACATGAGTCATGAGATGGACGTCGGAATATCGTTCAGAATTATCACTAGACTGTATTTTGCCTAAGCGGTCTCCATCAAACGCCTGAAATCATATTTATATATTCAGAAGGGCGAGGTTATCAGTCTTTCCTTGACCTAGAAACTAGATGTTTTCATCTTTTCTTTCATTCCACTACGTAACGCCGAAAAATTTCATTCTGTATGAACATTTATTGTTTGGGATAAAGTTATCATTAGTGATTTTTTTGTTTAAAAACGAACTCTTTGTTTAAGTTAAAATTGTTTCTGTATATAAAC